TTAATGAATTTGACAATGTTACGTGTTAAAAATGGCAAACGTATGCATCTGTTACGATATATTTATACTTCAAAATTGTATTATTTGCAAATTAGAAAGGTCATTCAATAAAGGTCAAGATGATTTGGAGTAAAGTGTTCAGTCACAATAAGTAGAATAGTATTATAGCAAAGTTGAAAATGCAAAAAAATTGTGTGAATAAAATGCATAGTAGGAGAACTTAATCTTTTCAATTGAGATAATATTAATAATAATATAATATAATATAATAATAATATAATATGTAAAAAGGGGGGTGTTATCAAGGTAATTACGATCAACGAATTAAGAATGATGAATGTGAAGATTAAGATAGAGATAACTAGAATTAATGATAATAAGGTAAATAAGGTAAATAAATAAAAAAAGGAAGGGGGTAAGAGGTTTATAATATTCAGTCTAGGTATTCGGTGATCCAGTGTTAGGCCACGGTATACATAGAGGCTGGATATATTTTTTCTGGATACATAAATTAGGCCTTCTGGAGTTGATCCAGATGGTTTCGGCTATGTAAAGCAGATATTTTGGAACTTGATATAAAATAGAGAAAGCTTCCTCTATTTTGATATGATGCTCACTGTCTACCAAGTGAGAAAGAATGGTGCTGTTGATCGATTTGGTAACTCCTTTTCCAACCAGGCTGGTGCATGTTCACAAACACGCAAGGATAAAGCCCTCTGAGCACGACCTATGTAACTAGCTTCACAGGAGCAGTTGAATTGGTATACACACATGGAGGAGCCCATCTTCGGTAACTTATCCTTGATTAATTGCGTGAGTACTGGTTTAGTCGAGAAAATTATGTGTAACTTGGCGGCATGAAACGTCCTTTCGACAGATCTTTTGAGTCGACGTGTTAGAATATCATCCGCTATGTCCCCTTTAAAGTCAAGTTTCAGATATAAGGCCTTTTTACTGACTGTGTCGCAATGTCTTCTCTTTTTAATACTTTGTACGAGGTATTTTTTGATGAAATTATCAGGACATCCATTGTTACGTAATGTGTTCTTTAGTATAACTATTTCCTCCTCCACACTGTCTTCAGAACATAATAACTTGATTCTGTGGTTGAGACACTTAACCAAATTTATTTTATATTGAAGAGGTGTGAAGCTTTGGAAATGGGTATACTGACCCGTTCATGTACTCTTTCTAAATATATTTCGCTTTATGGAACCATCTATCCTTCTAGGAAGTAAGACATCCAGAAAAGCTATACTATTGTTTTTCTCCTCCTCTCTGGTGCATTGAATGGCTGGGTGGACATTATTGAAAGCGTCTAACATCTCCCGTTTGTCGATACTTTCGTCACATATGATTAGTGTGTCATCTATGTATCGACAATAATAATCAAATTTACTTAGGATGTCTTTAAGCGGTCCATTTTCTAGTTTGGTCAGAAAATATATTAGCAAGGATCGGGCCAAGAGGTGATCCCATCGCTACCCCATCAAATTGTCTGAAGAATTCATTGTTGAACTTAAAAAGGATATTCATAGTGCATTCAACAGAAGTTCTTTCATTTTAATAACTGGGATTGGTATCTCTATTTTCTTTTCTAGCAGTTGTTCACATATGTAATCGATAGTCTCAGTCAGAGGGATGTTAGTGAACAAAGATGTTATGTCTAGTGATAGCATGGTTTTGCCATTTATATTCATATTTTCAAGTTTATCAACAAATTCAAAGACATCTTTAACACTATGCTTAACAAGTTCTTGTTGCAGTGGTTCTAATAACTTAACTAACCATTTTGCTGTTGAATGGTATGGAGAATTCGCCATATCCAGTATCGGGCGTAAAAGAACATCAGGTTTGTGGATCTTAGGTAGACCATATAGTCGAGGGGCATGTGCTCCAGAAGGCTTGAGCGTATTATAGGTATACTCAAAGATGTATTGATGTTGTTTTAGTAATTTTAATTCGATAATATACGAAGCCTACTCAAGACCCTATGATACCTAAAAAATTAAAAAAATGAATTTAAAAAAATAATACGAAAAAAGATGAAAAGGGCTCCAACAGCTTCGATAAAAAAAGGAAGATAGTCAATTGTATATCATAATAACTGTTTTTAGCACTATATTTTATGACCATACATAATCTCATACTTTCAGCTCCTTTCTGAATCCCCTCCATTTGTCAGTTGTATGTCCACTCATACCTTGTTTACACTTATTTTCTTTAACCTATTAAAATGCTCTTGCTTAACAAATACCTTAATAAAAGAAAATTAGACTGAGTAATCATACCTTAAACATTCCTTCATGAATATTGGCTACTCTGCCTCTCGCCCTTTCTTTTACTTGCTCCCTCTTTCAGCCCCCTTGAGGTATGGAACGGGTGACTTAATCCTGCACCATCCTTAAGGCCCTGGATATTCAAAAGGGACATAAGGTTGCGGTTTCTAGAAGCTCATACCTTCAATAGACCTATCCGCGACCTTCATGAGGCGTGCCAACGGTAATACTGACTAAAACCATCTACATTCATGTCTTTTAAATTATCAACCCAGCTGAGTAATTTACTACAGTGGGTATTGTATCATTTGTATCAATTTGATCTTGCCTGTAAACTGGCATGCCTCATGTAACAAACTGTTATTTGAGAATAAATTATTATTATTTTTGAGATGCAATTAAGAAGCACACTATGGAAAACGTTAGTATATTTATAGTTTTTACATGAGAAGATTCTAGAGTATTCTCCAAGTATCGACTAGCGCTGATTGGATAAGAATTAGCAGCATTGCGATTGGGATTCTTAGGCGTTTCCTGATGACTACCATTCGGAAGACGGAGGACATTAAAAATTCCTATCTTGAGTTTTTATTTGGGATAAAACTTTTTGAAGTCAGTCATTTTTCCTATGATTGGTGTGTGAGCTGTTACCGAGCCTATTTGAGGTGGCTTCACATCAGTTTGTGTGTCGACAGAGCGATGTGTCCCAAACTCTTTTGCTAATACGCTTTTTAGCAGCATTTAGCACTGAAGTGGCCTCGATCAGCAAGTTCTTTGAATTTGAGCAGTACTGATGACAAATCCATACGCAACAGTCCTCACAAAACCACTTTGAAGCCACCGGCGTTAGATCCGCGCAAACTTCGTGGTACCATCCTCTTCACTAGTCTCGCTGCATGCCGCTTTCAACGAGGTGTCGACGGCTCAGGTGATGGCGACTGCTTTTTTTGCATTGTACAACCATCAAACAGAGGTTTTTATAAAGAAACTAGATACTATATCATCCAAAGACAAAAGAAATTGATGACCAAAAGAAAGTGAAAAAATGTAAGTTGCTAGAACAAAGAGGGCCAACAAATATAGCAGAAACAAAGTACTCAAAAGTACTCAAGACAAACTAATTTGGAAACAAAAACGATACTCTTAGAGAAAATTTATATGAAATAAATTCAATTAAAATGTAAACGATAAAACTGTACTTTTCAAACTTTTTAAAGAAGAAGCTCACAGCAAATCAACTGATTCGATATAGTTATTATCTAAAACAAAAACTATTTTGTTTAGCCAGGTCGGGATATTACTGATAAGGCGTATGGGGTAAATTCATATGGTGTGAAATTCTAGGTCATCGTGTTTGATGACTAGGTTTTTCTAGATCTAGGTTCTAGTACGTTACTTTGGGTCACGGTATCTTTTCTATGATTTTTTGCCCTAAAATAATTGACACTCTTCGAAAAATTCTGATGTATTCATTTGGATATTACGTACCAGCGGGAGAGTACCTTATATACATAACTCATTATTTCACTAGGCATATCAATTTTTGAAACACACGTTGCATCTGTCACATCAAGTTAGAAATTCCTCGGTGCCATTGTGTATGGCTAACATGATTAAGTCGACTCAAGATATATTATTGTCACCGCGAAACAAGTTTACTGGTTAATTGAAATGCATGATGTTTCAACAAAGGAAATATCTTCGGCAAAACGATTGTCTTAGACTGTGAATTCGTATTCACAAATGTTTTTTGCGTATAATATGGCGTAAAGTAAAGGAGTGTTAGAAAATTGTCAAAGGTAGTCAAACTTAAGTATCGATTGTAAAAAGCCATGAAAATGAAGTGTTGTATGATTTAATAAAGTGATCAAAGTTTACCGAAAGAACTCGATTAATAAGTGTTGTTATCCATAGATGGGTTTCACTTCGAGTCGACTAAAATTTTCAAGCATTGGGCAAAATTAGCGTTTTCATCGTTTGTCAAAACAATAAATAATTATCATGAAGTATGTGGTTCTCTAGAAAGTAGTAGGGGACAATAATTTCCGCAAAAGATCCTAAAGACATATGTCTACTTCGGAAAGGTAAATACGTTGAAGAATAATATAACTAACACTTGCGATTTATAAAATTGGGATGGGTGCTAAGACCATGGAAGGATCAAGAACTAAACATGGCTGTTTTGCACATAGAGATCGGGTTTTAATTAGCAGGTTGACAATACTGCAGCTGTGTACAAATTTCTTATCTAAATCTTTGAGCCAACTCGACTTTTTAGGTGATCTTGAACGATGGTTCTCTCCGCTTACAACAGTTTAAGTTATCACCAATTATTCATCTTGTTTATGTAAACTATCTGGGTATTGTACTTAGAATGCCAAAGATCTTTGTTATTCTAAAATGTGGCTGTCTGAACTGATCCAATTTTGTGCCAGTTTCTACATTATGTTGTGTTTCTTATAAAAGGGAAATACATTATAGCGATTACTGACTTTAATTATAAAGCATTATTAAGTCACATTGGCTGTAGAATCCAACTGAAATATCTACGAACCGGATCGGCTAAATAGTACAACTGCTCCTTATCAGTGTCAAATCTTGGGGTAATAGCTTCCCAACCAATTCAATGTGCTTGAAAATGAGGTCACTAATGTTTTAGTTTTATAAAGTGCTATAAATTAATGTTGTCAGTTTTCTCATTTTTAGATTTTCGTCAAGACTATGAGTATAAGAAACTCAGCAGGTGTTGGCTACGGTACACACGACTGTGAAATACAAACCCAAAGCACTGAGCTCGTTAATAGTCAGTTTCAGTCTTCCAATCCTATCGATCAATGCACAGATACGAGTTATATTCTGAACTCATGTAATTCATAATATGCCATACGACTAGCTTATCAGATCCCAAAGAGCTTCAAAAAATATGTTGCAACATGTTCACCACCCCTAAGTTTTGTGAATGGTTGAAGCATGAGTGGTTGTATTCGAGCATAGACAAGTATGTGGTTTTTATATCACCTTATATTTTCCTCAGGGAAATATTTCTAAGGGTTAATGACTTTCAGCTGATATTGCGGGAATACTTTCCTACCTTAAAGTCTCGAAAGTTAAGTCGAGTTCATTGGTCAACTATTCGACGGATCATAGGGAGACCACGTCGTTTCAGTGCCACGTTCCTCTCTGAAGAACGGCACTCTGTGCAAGTAAAACGTAAAAATATACAATACATACAGCACATCATTTTAACAAGTTCTCTTGGTCCAATGGCGTCAGAACATTTAGATAATCTTTTATTATGCTTGCCACCAGCAATTCGAATTCCCCTTCGATTACCAGTTGGTATTAGAGTATGTGTTTGGTGAGTACATGTCATTTGATTTAAGTCCATTTAGTCTTCACACTCCCATGCAGGGTTTATATCTTGGACTGATACAAAATTCGTGTCCAGGTGATGGAAATTATGCTGTTTGGGTTGATGAGTTAATTATTTCAAATGATTACATGGAAATGAAATCTTCCAGATATTACGGCTGTCAAATTGTTCCAGAAGAAAATGTTTTTCCTTTACCAAATCAGTCGTTACCACCTTCTGTAACACTTTCAGAGATTCGCAGCTATTTTAAAGAAAATATAATAAACAGTGATGTCACTGTTTTTTCGTCTGAATTTAATACTAACTTCATAAATACCATGAATAAAACGGTCGAATCATCTAGTAATCGTTTACATTGTGTTGTTCGTAAGTAAATCTCCAAATAAGTCTAATAATTCATTAGAATCCTCACCTACTTGTGGACCTTTATTAAGTGAAAGTGTATGTAATGCAAATCATATACAGATGAATAATTCACAAGTTTCGTCAGGAGATCTTTTAATCCCAAAACCTAAATTTGATAATCCTTCTGTAATAACATCACCGTGTTCAGAACAAACATCTTCCCAGAAAACCGACCATCAGTCTTACAATAGATTTCTTATTAATATTGTAAGTTATTTGTTAAGTATATGCTTGTTCTTTTTTGTACTTTATAATCGCTTTTATCGAGCTGTTAACTTCATTATTGAGTCATCTCCTTTTTTGTTTGTGAAGAAATAATAAGCTTGATAATCTAGTCATTGTTAAATGTAATAGCAATATGTGGCTAGGTTTTGAGTTGTACTTCGTTCTCGGTAACTGTTTGAAGTATCGATAAAATTTTCGTAAATATTAGAATTCTTTTTCAATAAATGTTATAACTAGGGATCAGTTGGGAAAAAATCAGTGTACGTAATACTATGGAGTAATTTTAGCTCATTAATTTATACTCCTTTACTTGGTTTAATTTTAGAAAACTCTCATAGCAATTTGATTGTTTTATAAATTTACAAGGTAAAATACAGAAATTCTAGTGACGATATGACAGTAGGAAATGATTGAACAGAAAATGATGCACAGAAAAGGTATATAAAATGAGATATCATTCATAAGGGTTTGTGTTTTCCCCTTGTTGATATTCAGGACTGAATTTCCGTGTCTCTATTGGAATATATGGATCCTGATTGGTTTCCTCAATATTACCCACAGTTACAGGTTTTTATTGTAATTTTAGATTATGGATATCAGTGGAATGCATAGTGTGCGTCTCATTCTGTCCGGAATAATGATTTAAAAATGTAAAGGTGGATAAGTGATAACAAAGCGAAATTGAGCCTTGGGCATCAGTACATCGAGTCAATTTGCTTCAGTATGGTAGTAGAGAACAAGAAAAACAAATATAAAATGAGTGAAAAGATTAAAGCAAAATAAATCGTGTGATAAGTGTTTAGGTTTAAGGGAAGATATAGACTGAATTAATCTCTGTCATTGTCATATCTCTTGAGCTCTATCACTAAGAATCTCCAATTAAGAACTGTTTTTTCTAAATAGAATAGACTATTAGTGATTTCATGATCAGGTACTGTTATGAGTTCTCTTATTAAGTCCCAGCTACTCTTATTGCTTAGTAACTTTGTACACTGACTCACTCGACAAGTCTCTAAATCGAGACACTGTTGAATAGAGACGTAATTATATTCCAAATAACAAGGGTGGATGTAAATGGGAATCACAATATGAGAAATGTTAGTATATTTATAATTTTTACGTAAGAAGATTTTTGAGTATTCTCCAAGTATCCTCTAACTGGTAGGTTAGTAAATGGCCAACCAGCGTGCCCCAACATAATCCTTCATGGAACATGTTTTTATCTAATTGATATGCAGCTAACAGTTGCGTAGTTTGATTTGGTAACCGTTATCCATTTTCCGATCTGTTTCAGCCGACTGCACTCAGCACTGGTTCACAACAATTAGATAACTTCTTCATTTAGTGATTCACTCCTGAATATATGCTATTTAAATACAAAATATGAACACATGTATCTTCCCTCAAAGCCCTCAATAGGTCTAAACTGTTTATTGTTTTTGCTTCCATGTACAGCATGTGATATACTTCATTTGTATATCCATCATTTGATGGGAAGACCTTTACATTCATAGGTATGATGCTTCCATTGTCACTTCAGAAATTCTGTGTGTTATACGAAGTACTTTTACATAAGATATGAAGGTTTGCTTTACACTTTTGAAAAAGCCGCGTTCTTAAATCACAAATTAAAACACGTTTAAAACTTACAGACAGTTAAATTTTTCAGTGATGTTATGAAGCTTTCATTTATCCCTAATACCTTCCTTTATATTTTATACTTATTTTTAAAAGATTAAACTTCACAAGATTTTAGAGAGAAAACGTTCATCAATTGAAACATTAAAACAATTAAATGATACTGCTGAAATAAAGGTAATTTTGTTTATCTGAAGTTAGTAATCTGCAATTATTGTTCATCCTCAAAGCTTTCAGAAAACCAGAATAACATCACTGTACAATTTCAACATACTTATGCAAAACTCATATTAAATATAGATAAAATTAATCGAGAATTAAAACATTATATGAATCAAGTACTTCTATACGTGTCAACTGTAAGTTCACTTCTTTAAAATACAAATGTGACATTAAAATAAAATGACTTGTATGATTTAAATTTTCAGCTAAACATGTTTTCGTTAAATTTTGAAATTATTGTTTGGCAAAAAACATGGCTAATTGTAAACTATTTAATTTTGAAATCAACTATCCATCGTATATTCTTAAATATATGGGTAACATTAAGAATTTCAGATATATCGTCCGTCGTGAAAACCAGTAAATTGTGCAAATGGATTTTTACTTTATCAGAAACTGATCTAAATAATAATTTTGAAACTGTCTGTAAAGTATAAAACTGATTGATGTTATTGATTCTCTGCAACGACCTAATGTATTCAGAAAAAGCTGGGATTTTTGTAACGACTGTCTAGTTTTATAGTCTACATCACGGACTGACTTTATTGAGACAAGCATTGAGAATCAGAAGTCAATGGACAGATTTTTTCCTAGCATTGTACTCCTCAGTAGTGTGCACTTATGGAGTCACTGGAAATTGAACCTAACACCAGGTGGCGCGGTGTCTGCTTGTCTTTTTGTCCGCAAAGTCAACATCCAATGGTTCACACGTTTAACTTCGATTGATTCGCGAGCTGGTCAACTGTCTGATAAGAAATATGAAGATTCCGATTTGTTTTACTCATGTGTACTAGAAAATATATTATTTCATCGTTCTCCGAATACAAATCTGGTGATTTCGAATTCACCATTTTCCATGTTAATGTAGTAATCCATACACCAAGTATAGGTTCATGTTCTTAACGACATCTGAACCTGGAACCAGCCAGTTAAATGCTGAGTAGTATAATCTCTAGGCCACCCTTTCCGCTTTCCATATTACTTTCTGATACTTTTTAATCGTTTCAATTTTGAAACTTTGTAAATGTATTATTCATTAACGCTTATTTGCATTGTTTTTTCCCTACACTTTATTAATTCTTCTTGTTTTATGGTTTTTAATGAATGTGACAAATTAAACTAACACATATGTATATTAGCTTCTTTGTCGTTTTTCTCTTTTGAATTCTCACATTTAAAAACACAGTCGAACGGGCTACTATATATAATTTTATCATGTTAGGATTATGAAAAATCTTTGGTGCTGTATTTGTTTTACATTTATTCAAGCTATATTTCACGTCGTTTTTCCATAATTTTAAAACAATATCAGCGGTCTCTTACTTCCTTTGTGGAGCGGTTGGCTCATTGGTTAAGGTGTCCGACTTTCAACCATTACGTCACATATTCGAAATCCACCCCACCTATTTCGGTTTAGGCAACCAGGTAATATCATCAGCCCCCACATTTGATGCGTCGCTTAACATCACCTTCACGAATCTGTACCTGGTAGTGAGATAATAATAACAGTAATCTCGCGTCCTCCATCCATAATTTGGTTTCTGTAATGTATGTGGTTGTTTTACTCAGCCCTTTTCTCATTGTTGCCATGAGGTTAATTAATCACTTCATTTACCATATGTTCGTCTTTAGAAGTTTAACAAGTAGAATAATAAATCAGAAAAATGTACTCGATAACCAAATACTAACCATGATCAACGTTCCCTGTTTTTAGGTTTTTAAATGTTCCTAGTTACTCCTAGATTCTTTTACAGTCGACAGGTGTTACTCCTCTGTCGAACCCTATTTAATCCTCAACACAATATGTTCAGATAGATAAAACACACTTTAATTTATTGATATTAATGAACGTTTCACTCCAGATATTAGGAACTACTTCGTTTGTCCTATCTAATTTCACTAATACGAGTCAATTTCTTCCTGAAAATAATGGTTTGAATGCAAACTTCGACTATACAAATAATGTGGCTGGTTTTCCGATAGGTTTAACGAATTATTTGCTCGTAAACTCGTATTGTACGATTCACCCAACAATTAGATTGGTTTTAAGTCACTTATCCTAAGTTTTACCAACAGACATCCACCTTGCACAGCTACAATTTTCATGATGTAACCGTTATGTCCACCGATGTGATGTTTCTTCTGTCTGTTGTTTAGTCTCTATTTTCCATATCTTCTCCGTTTCGCACTTATTGCAGTGCACTGTACAATCGTCTTTCTGCATTTTATTTTTCTATAGATGGCACAAGAACATAACATGGTAGAATTAAATTCCGTTATCGACTGGAGACGTCGCTGTGATGATGAAGCTCAAGAAATAGTTAATCGGATGAAAGAATTACAAGTAATAAGTTTTTGAAATTGTTAGAAAGAAAATAAGTAATCTGAAAGTCTAAATACATAAAACAAGAAGGACTGGTTTAGGAAAACGTTGAACTTCTTGGTCGAAAACTGGATTAAAATCGTTTGTCTGATTAGCTAAGTTTTCGAATTAAATATGTGTGTAAATTTTACTGACTGTCCCGAACGTATCTGCTACCTTGACGTAATAATTAGGCTTACCTATAGTAATGTCCAAATGGATTTGAAAAGGTGATTTTTGACAGTAAAAGCAATCTAGTGGGTTTATACGTTATTCTGTGAAAACTATTGAAGTTAATGCAAAAATTAACTTGCAAAAGGATAGCATTAAAAACACTAAAAATTGTTACTGAAAAGTACTGTCAAAATCATATCGATCCAAACTCTTAATCACTCAAGCGACACAAAATTGTTGATTCTATCTGTTCACACGTCACGGAGCTAAAGTAGGAGATTATAGTAACGCTCTTACGATTAGTTTCGATTTTGGTCAAACTTATTTAATAGACAATGTTATTCGGACAGTAACAATTCGTCTATTTCTTTGTATTATTATGATCATTATCATATATGTATAAACCTTTACGCTTGATCACATGTGATAACCCACGCACACATCTCTCTCTAGCTTAAATATTTCTCGATGAATCATTCTCTTTCCCATGTATATATATGCTCGAATCCTATTAATAGCCTTTGGCTTGCCTAGATGTGCCTTGATTTGACTATAAACTCGCCTCTGTATTCGCTAGCACACAAACATTAGCCTTTCTGCTCCAAATTCGCTCGATGTGCTTATAAGATTGTTATCTGTGCTATCCGCTAATAAACTATAGTCGCCGCCTCTTATTGCATTCTGAATTCGAACACTTGGGATTTATGTACTAACGGTTATCAAGGTGATTGATTAACGAAGCTAAGTCACTACAATATATCACAAAGGTTTCATGTATTGGATGATATGTCACCGACTAACCTTTGGACTTCAAATGTGTTTCGTCGCAATTACCGATATATGTGCCCAAACCTTGCATTCAAATCTTATTAGAAGCCTGAAAGCTTCAGAAACGTAGTATACATTTCTAAATAATCCTGAAAAAGTGTGTTCTGTCATTTTTTAAATATTCTACTCAGCTTTAGATCTGAAAGCCCTATCTATGGGGATAAAATTGTGCGAAGTAAACCACCCGACCGTTGCTGCTACTTTGACGTGGTAGTCGGGCTTGCCTATCTTGATGAATCTATCGAGCTATACTGACTGGAATAATCGTTCATCGAGGTCCTATCATACCAGACAGGTCGGTTGAAGAGTGGTAAGATCACAAGTAGTAAATCCGAGGTCGTACTGCTGACTGTACAGAGGTGTGACGGTAGTAAGTTGTTTCTTGGCAACGAGCATGATAACGATGCTGCCTTCCCATAAGGAAGGGTGGGGTTAAAAAAGGTTGACCCCAAAAATGCACACCTCACCTTATCCCTCGCATTTACGTCTCCGGTGAAAAAGTTCCAATAAGTATGTTGTTAACACGGAAAATACCATGTACTCACTAGTGACTAGCTTTGTGAAGGAATTCTCGGAGTTCTAATGAGAAACCGTGACTAGTGGAGCTATTCCATGTCGGGTAGAAACAGGTATCTACCTCAGTACAATGGGAGATGGTCGCGTAATTTCGTGGATTGGTCGAGGTTAGACACTAACACTGTTGGATGCCGGCTCAGTGGTCTAGTAGGTTGAGCGTTCGCGCTCGAGACCGAAGGCCCTGGTTTCGAATCCGGCGAGCGGGTTCGTGGGTGCACACTGCTGTAGAGTCCCACAATAAGACGAAGCGACCGTCCAGTGCTTCCAGGTTTTCTATGGTGGCCTAACTGAAATCGGTTCATGATCTCGATCAATAAGTTGAAAATCTCCAAAACCGTATTCTGATACTCACATAAAGGTCGTGTATTACCGACCTCAAGCAGTTGTCCCTTAGGCACCGCGGTCACACTCTCAGGTCACTAAAACCACCCCTAACCGAATTCCTTTCTCTGGTGCCTCCAGAAGAACCCTCCCACGGTGTGGGCAACTGGAAGTGATAACTGCCTTCATACCTCTAACAGCACAAATTCAAAACTTCACACACGTTCATTTCGATAACCTAATCAATCAGAGAAACGATCTTAATCCAATTCCCAACTAGGGATTCAAATGTTATGCTGAACCAATCTTTTTGCTGTTATGTCTCAAAGGAAATAGTCGATTTATATCCTTTATTCGTTGGATGTCATGTTTGGAAGCCCAGTTGAATGTTAGTTTGAAAGACAGATCTGGTAGTTAACATTAAATGTTACTACAATGATGCTTCCTCTACGTACGCTATCATGACAGCTAACTTAAAATCATATTTTTGAGCTTTACATTTTGTATATATAGGTAATTACTTATATGATAACATAGTAGTTTGTGTCTAGTATTCAAGATCAGAAAGTAAAGTTCAATTCGTTCAAATCCTCTACGAATTTATGTTCATTATTATTGTCTTCGGTGACAGAAGATCAGGTCTGATCTCAATATATCATTCAACATACCAAATGATCCAGGATAATATCTACATACTCCGTACCTTACAATCAATCTAGGCGATGATGCAGACCATTCACAAAGGAGCATTTTGCATTTAATGCAAAAAACACACGTCTTGAACATACCTACATTATTACTCAAGTTTTTGAGTAGACTCTAGATTTTATCCAGATCTTCCCAGGAAGGAGATCACATCACCTCTTTTTAAAATTGCATTCGATAAGCTGGAGTGCTTCAATTAAGCTATTTTATACTTTTTAACCAACATTAACAGTAATTCACCTTGCGATAAAAAGCTAAAGTAGTTTTTCATTTTGTTCATTGAACCATAAAAATTTCTTTTCAGACATACAAATTAATTAATGAAGACAAATTGGATCTTGTTGCTAAGCTTATTTCTATTCTCATACATTTAAGTGTAAGTTAAAATATAAAGACTATTCATCATAAAAATAAAATATAGAATTTATCTGATCATCGGTACATGAATCAAATCCCAGCGTGTATTGACGACATTCTCAAAGAGATTAAACATGGTATTCACCCAAATAATTTGAAGTAAGAATATTTGATGAATTTGTTACATGTTTACTGCTTGTATTATGGTGTTTTTTTATTAAAAAAAGATTAATGTGACAAGTTTTCAACCTATCTATGTAACAATCAGGTTTTCTGAATACCTTCACACTTAGTGTACATTTACTACTCACTCACTCATACTTTCTTCATTGAATAATTGTGTCAGTCAGTCAGCTACAACGTAGGACCAGGCACATATATGCATCGGTTTAAGTTGCAATACCTCATTAGCACAACAAGATGAACACCGGATTCATAGAAGTAGTTAAGTCACTGGTGGTAATGTATGAAAGAAAGATTGCATATAACGACAGAGTACAGGAAAAAACATATGGAGCGATTTTGATCTCATAGTTTAAGAGAAGACAAAGAGTGTATACACCTACGCCATTGTGATCGATTCTGAACCATGTCACCCACAGTCTCCAACCATTGGTTACGATAGTCACACAGACTACAACCAAGTAGTTTGCATCTACCAATCTGGCTCAGACTATAAGTTAGTGACTTCAAGCACTGATGCCACGTTCTGATTTATTTATTTAAACCCATAAACATTGGTACAAGGAGGCACCAAATAGATATGCGCCACATAAATCATTCGATTTATGTGAGGACCGTGATACTGCCCGAATGCCCAGACCGAAGCAGGTGGTTTTCTTAGGGGGCCACACCCGGAGCCTTTGACCTAAAGGTCTGATCCACAAGGCAGTGGGGCATCGTGTGGAGATGCAGTCCGATGGTAGCCGGTAACCAACGATTGGTTCATACGCCATTTTATCCCGCAGGATACTGGAGCCCATGTGCACCATTGGTTTGGAATCCGGTTAAAACGCCAGATATTCGCTTTTCATCCTCTCAATTTCGTAAACACCCTCGCCACGAGAAGACAGTGAGTAGGACTTCCCTGGCAGAGGCTGTATACGCGTGAGAGAATTTCGAGAGTGAGGGCCCATATCAGGGCATTTGGGGGCTACGTTTTGATTTGGCTGCCCCTAACTTACTTTCAACCATCCTCAACACTAGTCAGCATTGCGCGTTATGGTAATTGATGTTTAGGCATACGTAACACGTGGCCTAACCGTCTCAGTCCATAAATAATTGTATCGCTATTTTTTTATATATATTTTATTACAGATGTTTTGAATCTACAGTGGAAAATTTCATTGGACAAATTATAAATCCAATTACAAATACTGTCTATTCACGAATGTATCAATATCCTATGATATCGAATTCACAAGTTTCAGACAATATTTAATATGTTAAATGTTATTTCCTTTTTTTGGGGGGGGAAGGGGCTAATTTCTCTTGTTCTATTTATTTTCATGTTGATTTTGAGTTCATTATTTGTTTGTTTCTTTTTATTTTCTTTTTAAAACTATTTATTATTTAAAAGGATCAATTTTTAAATAGGATACTATCTGATTGTGTAATGTATTACATAATGGTTATTGTATTTTATTGAACATATGAAATGTTTCGACAATTAATGGTTTTTATGTTTTAAAGTTTTTTGTCAGTAAAGAAATTGTAGTCAATTTATCATCACATTGTTTTGTATATATATAAAACAGATAATGTTATCATAATTAGGATATGTCTTAGAGTTGATTCATTTGTCAGTCAGTCATATAGTTGAACTCCTTTTCATTTACTGTTGTATCAATAGTAATGAAGTCATTTTTAGCTTTCATATAATATCTCTACCAAATTTAGTAATGTGAATATAAAAATTTGAACTCTAACGATAAAACTAGTTTAATCAACTCTCTCTTCATACACCCAACAGGTTATCTACTGAATGTCTCGAATTCCACTGCCAGCTATTTTATAAAACTTGTAAAGAATGGTTATTTTTAGGTAATCCATTCAGGACCTACAATGCCAACAGAGACTAGTCAAGATTAAGTCTTAAATATCAACAATATGAGAGTTTAAACCCATACTAACTGAAAACAATATACCCGTTGATCAAATTAGTGCGTACGCCAATTCACTAGCTTGTTTAAAGCGATATATGGTGGGTTCGAGTATCGACGTAAGCATCAATTTTGCGTTCGAGTACTTCCAACTGACGAGTTACAAATAGCGTGAAACACGCGTGCTGGATTCCACCGTTTATGTACTCCTTGTTTAGCCATTATCTGGTTCCTTGAGGTTCGTCGGATAATTGAGAGGTTGTGTTGATCACATGATCAGATGTTTAATGTGTACATAATACCTCTATTGTAACAATTATGAATTAGTCTGTTAGTCCTGTAAGCAGAATTCGAAACTATTGAAGATGTTTCCAGTGTGTCACAATACACAGCACATACTTTATGAAATTAAAGGCGTATTCTCGAAGTTCTGGGTTACAATTTGCCGCTAATTCAGCGCGTGCATAAATATTTTGGGTGTTATTGAGAAGGCATATAAAAACTCTACATCACTCTCACTTCAATTTTTGAGAAAATTTCAACTGTCAAGATGCCATGTAGATGTGAATCATGTAAAGTAACAAAACACTATTTGGTAAGGAAAAAATATCTTTGATAATATACAAAAATCCGTCGAAAAATAATATCACCATGAAGAGAAGTCAGTTAACTGTGACTTTAATAAAAGTTTCTGCTTCTTACGTAAAACATCTTCATTCATCTGTAGACTAGAATCAATATCTTTACCGTGCTTATTGGTGATAGCTTTAGTGTCAAATTGATCTACATCATGAATAAATTTACCAACACCTGTTCGATACACTTGTTTTGCAATTCCTGAAAGTAAATCATAATGATATTTAAAAATAGTCATATATTTAGAAGAACAGACGGCAAACTGTATAGGAAAACTAGTGACAAAATCTCTACAGTATTTAATTGCTTGATTTGTACCCATATTATCTATATCAACGTTATGTTCCCATTTGCTTAATTAGGAGTAACTGGATTTTTGTAGTGATATAATATAAAGCAACAAGTCTTTCACTTGATTAATACGAATTGTCCTTCTGATTGCTAGAATTGGGAGGAGAATCGTCTTTCATTAACACGGATTACATACGGTTATAGGTTTTTGTCATATCAAAAGAGTAAACATGCCCATAACTATTAATACGATTCCCACATATGTGTGTTATTTGTACAAGCGAGGAAGGGTTGCGTCATAAGATCGCAGCCGCACCTTGCGATCCGATCTTCAGACTAAGCATTATGAATGCAAGCTTTTGGTAAATATGAAGCATATAAGTTATCTGCTACTGGTATAACTTCGTACCGAAGGGATTCTCAAATGGGTTAACGTTACTTGAGTGTGGTTTTGTCGAGCAGGTGGGTTGTGTTCTTTTTCATGAATTAATTTTTTTTGTTTGATTGTCCAGCTATTGTTTATTATCCCCTCCTCATGTTTGTATAAATCGGATTTACTCCAGACCATCCATCAGATTTGGATGGGAAAATGCAGATACATAAAACAAGAGAGATTTCCAGAAATGTAACGTCCCGGTGAGAAGTCAGTCAGCTAGTGTGTTGTGATAGATCCAGTCTGTACACTAACAAGAACTCAACAATTCAATTACGAAATCGCTTCCAGCTAATGGTATTAATATCGCTTTTCCTAGTCAAAACCATTACCACACAGAACTGTTTCGTTCCGTGGTGATTGGAACTCGAAATCAGGCTATTTACTGAAAGTTTATCAGCTTTATTCCCAAATAAATTTTGTTTTGGTGGGAAATTAAGTGAAATACCGGCTCATTGAACACTGAAAAAAGTTAATCATCAAAAGCTAGAAATTGTTTCTGGAACGCCAAGTTGTATTTTTCCCTTACAAAAATAACATTAGTCCCCACTACTACGGTATATGCCAACGGTGATTGCCCTGCTTAAAACTCCTATCCAAAACTTCCGATCACGACACGAGAAAAAGTAGTCAGTGTATTTTGTATTATTCGTAAAAAACTCAAATGATTGTGTGTCACGTCTTTTGTGAGCTGTGAGTGGTTCGCCGGCGAAGATAGGAGGGCCGATTCTACGATTTGTATCAAGTCTTTATATAACTTCAATTTTTACTCTATATACACTGTGTGAGCTACCTATACTTTGAGTGAATAAATTATTCTTCTCCCTAATCTTGTTTTCAATCTCTGGTTGTAAATCGTGTATCCGTGTACAATGTGATCTAGTCTAATAGTTTAATAATTTGGTATGGTGGTCTAGGGTGCCCAGCCAATTATCTTGCATACTGTACATTCATATTAATAGATAGCGAACAATTTACTTGTTCTTTTATAGCAGTTCCAATATTGCGTAACAGGTATATAATTAATTAGCAGTTAGTTATGAGCGGTAACAGAGATATTAACAGTTGGTGAGTTGAATGGAAGCTTATATTAGGACAAACATACGTTAAAAATATAAACTGAATCACAGTAAAACAGTCACCGAAATGTTATCTTTTTCTATTAACTCGACAATTTACAAAAACACTAATGTGTAAGATCGGAGTATTATTCTTCAATATCCATATTAATAGTTTAAAGCTGGCCATTTGTCTAAACAAGAAAATAAACGCGCCTTTAGAATTAACTCAGAAATATAAGTAAACGGCTATGTGCTTTTTATCACTGCTAATTACAAGAGTCCTCTAGCATTTTGTCACCATTAATTGCTTTTTTTCTACTAAAACTCTATTGACAATAAGCGGAAAACTATACTATATGAATGACGGCTAAATGGCGATAGACCAAACACAGCAACTGTTTACACAAGGGATGATTTTATCTATCTTAGTGACTAAAGAGCATCAAATTGTGAATGTCATATGAGAATAACAGTTTTAGTAGCCTAACACATCTCTTCGGGGCAGTGACACTTACCATCTTGTTTGTTGCGTTTAGCACGTTCAGCAGCTTCCAGAGCTTCCTCCTCCCGGCGATTACCTGGCTTCGGATGTACGTTTTTATCAGCGTTATCGATGTTTATTTCTTCACTGTAATTAGCACGTTCTTTACTTAACATTTCATCAACATCCTTGAATGGATCGACGTAAACTTCACAATTTATGATTTGTATATCTTCCTAATTAAAAATAAGATAAAACAAAAAGACAATATCTGTTCATCCAATCAGAAAAGTTGAAATGATGGGTAATAAGCAATATATTAAACAGCTATGATTATATCGAGCTACACTAAGTTCTTCACTAAATAAAAAATCTCACAACTCCTTGTGCTCTTAGCTCAGAGTAAGTTTTTGTATGCAAGGCAGTGATACTGTTCATTTGCAAAAACCGGACGAGGTAGAAAGATATTTGAGATGTATCAACAAAACTTCTGGAAAACATGAGTACATTTTCGATACTCAACAACATTTATACACGTAAATCTGAAAAAAACGTCCGATTAGGTTGACTCCAAAGCTTGTTATTAGTATTTTATATTGAAATGGTTCAGTAAACATGACGTTTCGTCGGGACATATGCTACCTGCAAATGTGTGACTGAGTATCGAACTGAGGTGAAATGCTTTCTGAGACAAGAAAAAATGTTATTTTTTATAAACAAAGATGGATAGTGGGTAACAGTGGAATCCAAGACGCGCGTTTCGACCTGTTTGGGACTCGTTAGCTAGATGTACCTGCATCCCATAATTGATGATCAACCCGAGACTCGAACCCAGTATAAGAGACTGACCAACTGCAATGCTAAACATCAATGGGAAGATTCAAAAAAATGAAAAACATGAATCGCTACCATTGTTGATGTTTCCACTGTAAATTCTTCCCTAGCATTAATGAACTTTCATTTTTAAAAGCCCTTGAAACTAGCGACAACGTAGTACCCATCTGCTTTTCCCATCATCAAATAATTTAAAGCTACTTCCAACTTCTTTTGTCGATTGTGCAAAGTTTATATGTTATATTCTAACGAAGAACAAATGAATGGTAACCACCAGAAATTATTTATGGACCGTTATCATATATATTCTTATTGTATAACGATTAAGTTACTACGTTATATGCATATTCATATTCCTTTTATTATAAACCTTTATTTGACCTATTGACTACTATCATACGATTTACTATTCTTAAGTTATTCCCTATTTATTAGTAACAATCTCTCACAATCGCAAACACTTTTTGGTTTGATCTTGTATAATTGTTATTTTCTATTTTATGGTGTGATGTGATCTGGTTTGTTTGTATATAAACCAAGTATGTCTGAAATATTACTTATATATATATATATATATATATATATATATATATATAAATATATATATATATAAATATATATATATATAAATATATATATATATATATATATATATATATATATATATAATTCATATATTGGCGTTCTGTACTGAATGGGTTGGGTTCTGAGAGAAGCTACTATCCCGGAGGTCCAGTAAGAATTGTAGGATGCTTATATTGGTTTATGCGTCATTGGTCCGGTCAATAAATCAGTGTTATAATTGGCGACATTATCATATGACATATTAACAAGTGCAAAAGTCATAACAGTATAGTTAACGATGAGTTTGCTAGCCACTGACTGTACAGTAGATAATGCATTACTTAAATCATATACATTTATTCGTGGTGACTATATGAGTGAACGTTTTCTATTAAGGACTTTGACAATTTTATTTAAAAAGTGTTTATTCACTTTGGGTAGAACTGTAAACCAGTAATTTGATCCATTGATTCAAGCCTGATAGATTTCATTTTCTAAAGTTGAATAGTATCTTACTGTTTTTTTTGCAGCAAGTATAACCTAAAGTGCTAAATCTGTGTTGAATCACCTAGTTATTTTATGCACAAATACAGTAATCATCGATATTTTTAGTTTTCGTACAATAAAGTATACAAGTGAGTTGGTGGTTCGAGGTAGTCGACAGGAAGCCCTGGACCTGTGTTTCGTGCTATTTTGGTACTCGTCAGCAAGGTATACCTATAATCTTGAGGGAACTGATGTCCCTTGTGTTATATCCGAGCGAAGATTAAATCACGAGTAACTTCTGAGACATATTAATTGACTATTATTATTTATATATTCTCATGGTATAAATATTCGGTAACTAGATTATCTATATCTATATTCCCCTTGTTATAAGCTTTATTTTAACCTATAATTTATCATTGTACGATTTACCGTTCTTAAGCTATGTTCAGTTTATTAACTACTGCCTCCCACGTTCACAGCCACTTTTTGGCTTTATTGTGTACAAATGTAATTTCCTATTTTATGGTGCGTTGCGATCTGTTTGATATACCCAGTATGTCTGAAATAAAATATTCGATTTGCATATTGGAAGCTGGTATTTGGTGTTCTGGAATCAAGTGGGCGGGCTAGGCGTACATAGGACCAATAAGGACGCTAGGCTGCTTATACCGGTCGAACGTCATTGGTTTGGTGGATGAATTGTGGTGCGTGCTACTTATATTGATATAAGTAGTATATAACGTGAGTTAAAAGAACGTAATGTCTGGCAGTAGAAGATGGGGAAGATCAAGAAATGAAGAGCGAGAACACAATGGAATTTGTAATAAATCGCATGAACAATGAAATGTGAGACAATGGATTGATGTTTGCAACAGCAACAGTCCGATTTGATATGATGGAATGATATTTTGCAAATTAACGATTTACTATATGGTTTTTCTATTTTACCAAGTAACTCTGTAATTTTGTGCTGAATACAATTTCGTTGTCCTCACATGTGTTCTCCTTCACTACAGAATCACCTGCTAAGAAGTCGGGCATAAAGTCACAACACCCTGACGGATTAAATTCGTGTCACCCAGCTTCACAGTCAGAGACGTTACCATTGAGCTGTCTGGGCCGCGACTGGCCTCCTGTAGGACTGAGATTTATTCACAAATGACTGATCACTGACTGGTGGATCAATGTCATGTGTGTCAGATCCTATCGACCAAAATAGGACGAAACCTATGTTCAGGGTTTCCTCTAGACTACCTCCGACCACCATCTCATCCTAACATAATGCACGCAATGTCGAGTCACATAGACTAGTGGCCACATTGCAACTCGGTCGATAGGATTCGATCTGCACTAAGAAGGACCTGATACATATGACATTGATCACCACTCAGTAATTAATCAATTGTGAAGTAGACAAGTACCAAACAACAAAATATCATTAAAAAAAAGTAAATATACTCCACCTACCAAAGGTCGATCGTCTTTATCGGTTTCCATCATTTCAATTTTTCCCAAGAAATCTAAACCTCCAACAACCCTAAATTTTAATTATAATATATATATATACGATCAGTGTTACGGGACATACTTGCCGAATACAGTATGCTTACGATCCAAATGCTTGCACTTTCGGAAAGTAATAAAGCTGAAGAAATATTTCGAATAAAATAAATGTACAATTTCTACTTACAACTGAGATCGATTAGTATTCGGTCCAGAATTAGCCATAGATACAACACCACGTGTATCATGACTTAAATTAGGAACGAACTCGTCTGCAAAAGATCCACCCCATGCTGAATCACCACCAAACCCAGTGCCAGTTGGATCACCTCCCTGAACCTAAAAACAACACCATAATGAACTTTATTCACAAGCAATAAACTGCACATACAATGAAGTAGCGAATTAGTCTATGAAAACTTGTATCATTATAGTAACCTGTAGAACAATGACGTAGAAAATTTTCACACGTTTTGGGGACCAAATCGCAATGCAACTCAAGGTTTAACTTTCCGTGTGATGTAACCAAACTGACGTAGCCTTTCTTTTTCACATATTTGTATCGGACTACATCATCTTCGAGAATTGCTAAAATTGGAACATATCAGTTTTATCAGTTAAGTGAATTTTAAAACAAACCCGGTTCAATTTTTGTTACTGGTTCCATAACAGTTGACGTAAGTGAAGCCGCTGCTCGACCAGTTGAATAAGTAGCCTAAGAGGGTGGATTAAGAGATAACTGGTAACAATAAGATTGTGCTTTTTTACTGTATTAAAAACGTCACGCTTTTTTCCTGTGTCTAGTGAAGTTTTCCTAGTTGAATACATATAGTCTGGTACTGAGATTTCTTTCGGCAGTTCAGCTAAAGTTTCTTTGGTTTCTTGATTTAACGAACGTATAACTACTACATTGCCTTCATCTAAACAAAATATCATGGTGAATTGATTAGTAATGAATAAAATTATCTTGACGAACTTTGCTGTTCTTCTTTATTTTTCACATGATAAAAAGCGGAAATATTAAACTTTTCCAGTTGTGTAGGATCTTGTATTGTGATGACATCATCTTTTGTAAATGATTCAGAATTGAGTAAGTCAAGAAAATTATTCGCCTTTAAATTCAAACGTTGAACAGCCTAGAAGTATATGTGTAAGTATATTTAATTACTAAAATAAATTCAGAATCAACATTACATCAAAAGAGTATACATTTCCCGTTGGCTTAATTGCAACAATGTGTGTATTTTCATTAAATACTTTGAATGTTACAGGGCAATGAAATTTCCCATCAGAATTTCGATGAAAATTTAACTTAATTAATTCACTCATTTTCATTTTCTACAAAAAAGAGGGAAAACAATTAGGAAAAAGTACTGTTATGGAAGGCTGATTTACTTACCAACCCAGTAACAGGATTAATACCATACTTTTTCAAAAAAGGTAAAATATTCCTGTATATTACATTTTAATTCTTTTGTTGACTTACTCTAAGTCGAAAATTATTCCCTCTTTTGTACAATATGGGTTTAAAAAGGGTTGAAAGGAGATGCTTAAGTGAAAAAAACAACCAATAGTGGTTAACGAAATAGTCTTTAAGACAAATTTTCTACTCACCTGCAGCAGTGAAATGGAAGACGTTTAAACTGTCTACCACTCTCAGTAGCACGTTTTCCACCATACAATGTACTCCACTCTGTACATGTAATATAACTTCGTTACACATGTGTACAGTTAAATAACTATAAAGACAACTTACAGTTTATCTTTCTGATGCTGTTTTTTGCCCATTATAAACAGTTACTAACCACTTGGAGGAATGTGAATAGCCAATAACAATGTAAAACTGAAATGAAATACAAAAACGTAGGACGTCACATAACAGTTCACTGGATCAAGATGCCAAAAAAGCTATAAAAGTGATGAAATGGAAACGAGCAAAGATTTAAAACTAACAAGGAGAAAACGAAATAAGTGGACGCCTAGTTATAACATCATGATCAGATGAGTAAAGGGAGGATTTACGCGATCCAACCTATTTGACTGTGTATCACATTACTTAGGTTTGCTTGAACACTAACACGAACCACACTGGGGATGGAGTCAGAGCAAATGCAACTCTTCATTTTTTACGAAGACGGCTTGGTGCTATCACCCCAAAATTATTTCTAGCACTATAAAACATCCACAAGACTTAAGCTCGGAGTTTGTTACGTCAGTGCATTCTCACTCTGTAAAAGATGTCTATTCGAATAAATGAAGAGAAGGGGCAACAAAGTGGGTGGTAGGGTTGAGGAGCGAATCCTACGAAGGTAGACTTCAATACGTTGAATTATTCTCGTTGAGCTGCAGGAAGACAAGAGGTGACCTGATAATGGAATAAGGAATAGTAAATATGCCAAGCAACATCAACATAAGCATACTACCAAAACCTCACCACCACGGTCCGCGAGGCAACCACCGAAAAACTGCATACCAAAGAAAACAAAAATCAAACAGGAAATTACTCTTCCTCATTAAGGGTTGAATTCATTTGCAGTGCTCTCCTAGCCGAGGTGACTACAGCCTCCTCGACTGATAGTTTCAAGAGTGTTTACAACCACGTGCACACTCATGGATTACTAGTCCCCACTCGGAATAGGTGTACCCAAGACATGTCTAACTTATTTGCCATTATTACTACCACATGTTATAGGCTGATGGCAGAAATAAACCAGCCTATCCCAATCTCATACCTTACCATATTTACATGTTGTATTTACACTTCTGTTTGTTCATGTTGTTGTCAATAATTTGTTTAATTACTGCTTCGGATTATCTTTCTCCTTTTCTTCTTCCGGAAAAAGTTCCCCTTTCAATGCTTTGCACACTACAATTAAGCAAATCCTAGTAATGTGATGACTGCTGGTTTCAGACCCTATCAGCCTCAGACAAACGCACTCAGATTACAGGATGCATAAACCCAAGGATAACTACGCAACTAACCGAACCCAGTGTAATCAAGTGGCAGAACCAAGCCCCTCCAGGTAAATATCATTAACAGACCTAGAACCGTAGATAAAAAACGAAAAGAGAGTACAAAGACAACAAAGCAAACACGACGTTGTCACGAAGGTACTGAGTATGAGATCGAATTTCAGTGAAAATTATGGGTCGTGACGTGTATAGTTTAATTCTATTATGTTGAAATCTAAAGAGAAAGTACCCATTACACAAAAAATTTGGAGGATTAATGTGGCAGAATCACAGTATTTTGCCAAAGGTAGTGACAATGTCGAAAATACTTTGTGAAAGATGTTCGTGACCCTGGAGAACTATGGAGACCCCAAAATAGGTAAAAATTGAAGCACTAAAGAGATTCAAAAGAAATTTCCTAGTCTGAAGATCTTGGGTAAGTCCAAGGATAATTTTACCAGAAACACCTAGACCTGTGCAAGAAATGCAACTGATAACCCTCATAACCAACAAAATATTTGCTTAATTCGAGAGAAAAGTGCAGATCTGAAATAAAATTAGGTTCTTGCAGCGTGTCTCAAATTTTATTCAAAATTGGTCAATTATGTCTCAGAGTTTGTAGATTGTGCACATATGATATGCAAACCTGTCTCAACATGAGAAATAAGCATATTTCAAGCGTTTTAGAAAGAGAGATGAAAGTCGGAATGAAATTATACCATATAAATTTACTAATATAGACAAACGAACAGCAGTTGGGACGAATAGTTACGCTCCTTTTGAAGTGCGCGCAATCGTCTTCAATTTCCAAACCTCAGTCAGTCTTCAGGAGTAAGGATAGGAGGTCTATCGACTTATATTGGTCCATGCAGTTTGTAACATTGTGGAGGTTGGGACTCATTTTAAATATATCAGCAGAAGGTGCTGGTATCACATGTTCTGTTAGAGAATTCTATTAATTAATATCAGAGGGCCATTTGCGGAAATTGTAATTTCAAAAGTTCAGATCATGAGTAATTTGAACCTAAAACACCATGGAAAATCTGGAAACACTGAACGGTCGTTTCGTTCTATTGTGAGTTTCCTCAATTTCATGGATTAGTTGAAGTTACACATTCACACCGTTGGATGCCGGCTCAGTGGTCTAGTGGTTAAACGCTTCCGCGCGAGACTGAGAAGTCCTGGGTTTGAATCTCTTGAGGCGGGATCGTAGACGGGCACTGCTGAGGTTCGCAAAGTAGGACGAGACGATCGTCCAGTGCTTCCAGGTATTCAATGGTGACCTAGCTTCATTTGACACATGATCCCAACTATTGAAATTATATTATTTGACTACTCGGTGCGAGAAACGAAACTCCAGGGGTAGACGGTGTGATATTCTTGTTTGGATGTTCTTTAAACTTCCTCCAGGTGATCAGTCCTAAACAGAGGGAAAAGATAGGCCATAATAATACCAAGGTGTTATATCTAGGTCATCGTTCAGTAAACGATGAGCCAATGTTAGATCACCCCATATTCTACGGAAATAACTTGAGGTGTTTCATTCTGTCTTCATAGGACAGGCCAGATAGACCTTTTACCATCTTGATACCTTGTTTTTGAACTCGTTCCGGTATATCTGTTTCATACTTGAAAAAACAACTAGCTGCTTGATTCCCATGTTCCGAATGTGGTCCAGGAAGTCTGGTATAATGATATAAATATTTCATCATTCAAATACTGGAAAGACCTGCGAATAGACTATAATACCCTAAAGCCTTTTGCAGCAGCAGCCTTACAGTGACTGGTGGTTTTGCGATCACTGTTTAGTATGACTCCTAAATCTTTATAGTTACTTTGTGTAGTCCTCATTCGTACATAGTATAGTGATACGAATCATCATAATTATTTAATTGCATCATTATGCTCTTCTTAGGATTCATTTCTAGTGACCACCTGTCCATCCATGCCACCAATGATCTAAGATCATCCTGTAATACCATTCTATCCAACATACTATGTATGGGTCTCCAAATCTTTATGTCATCGGCAAAGAGTAGAACAGATGGTTTTGCTATATTTTGTAATTTGTAACAGCTCAGGTTGGTTGGTTAAGAGTTAACCCCAAACAACAGAGCATATGCTAAAACAGTATTGTTCAAGTATTCATTCACTTCCTTATTTTTTATAAGCGTTATATTCCCTATTATCTTATATTGAATGTTGAGAGCCTTTGTTTGTCTGAACAGATAATCACACACTCCACTGTGACTGCGCGAAGATCGAAATAAAGACCTATTCACTACTTGTCTGGTTTCTTCTATCGACAGCACGAGGGTTACCTTAAGGCACGAAAAATTCACGTACATAAAGTAAAAAGAGAATAAGACCGAGGATTGTGCCTTGCAGATGAGCAGAATAAGCGCACTTATTACGTTTTGAGTCCTCAGTAGTAACAGAGCGTTTATAATCACGAGAATCACATTCTTCGTGATATTTCATCTGTAAGCTGTAGGGAAATGCAAATTAGTATATTTTCTAAAGAGCAAGCATTCAGTTATTTGAGGCGCTCTTCATAGTTTCTGAATTTGGGTTCATCAACCGATTTCCTGGCTAACCTTTGAATACATTCCCAACTAATGATCTTTTGTTGTGTGTAATCATTATATTTCCGTGATTTAAATGAAGTCGAATAAAACGTTTGGGACAAAGTAGAATGGTCCATCATCAAACTGGTCAAAACGAGCTTCAAAGTTAACAGCACATTGTCCTCTTTGAAGCAGCTTTTGTATTGGCACTGTAGATCACCAACGTAGATGATCTATGTCGAATGATTGGGGGCCCACTAGAGTTGGACAAGAATGGTGTGACGAACCAGCTACTGCCGAAGTCACACCTCATGGTCAACACCTTACGCGGATTGCCCCATCAACGTACCAAGATACTATAGATGCTTTGAAGACTGTACAACACAAAGGACGTTAATACAGAAATATATTAGTTGAAGTAGGTACAAGCAAAAGCAAGACCACCGCCACATGGGCCAGCCCATGGCGTACGACTGACTGGTACATGTTGGTGGTCATTGACCCTAATAGGGATCGACGATCTGTTCGATATTCAGTGGCCCAAATGCCGGATGGTTTGGCAGTGGCTTAGTGATATTTCACTGGCCCTACAATATTCCCCCATCAGATTCAACGGCCTTTTGAATCGGTACCAAACGTGTTGGGAGTGGTTACGCGCCGTTGATCGCCAAACGATTGATATGAATCGTTCGGGTATTGCCGACCTGCAAGACAAAATAGAAAGGAGGCAGCAGAAAGTGATCGGAAAACAGCGAATAATAATGTTACAAGGACGTTGGTTGAATGTAAATCGATTAGTCATATAAATAATAGAAAAAAAACATAACGTTTTAAAGTACTATCAAGTCGCGTTGAAATAGATACCTTTGACAAGCGATTGAGTTTCTCAGATGAGAAACGTTAAGTTTGCCGCAAGATAAATGGTGCTATAGTGATAGGATGATAAATGTATTATCAGTCGACTCCGATGTTTATACCGCCATTGTTTTAAAGTGCGACGTCAAGCTGTGTCGTTGACAGATTCTGTTCGTACGTATTGAATTCTAGTTATATCTATACTTAACATACTTACTCCAAGTATTAAGGAATAATCGTGAGGAAAAGTCGTGAATACGTTGTCTGAAGCTATTGATGAACTCGTAGTCAGAGTATGAAGAGCCTATGACTGTTGTTACAATCAGTAGGGGTCTAAGACTACAGATCAAATGCGAATATGTCACGGTGGAGTCTCTAAAAAATGATAAATAGTGATTGCTTTGTGTTTGTCAGATAAGCGAACAGAAACAAATCGAAAGGAGCATAAGAAACCAAGAGTGTCTCTCTTGACTTATGTCAATGATACCAGTGAAAAAACTGTCAGTTTTGGCATAGAGGAGACAATGTCGTTTTCAGTTCGCAGGAGATTCGCTCGACTGCGTAAATTGACGATTCGCGCGAATGATAATGTCGTCGGACCATCAATTGAACTGGACAGGTTTTTATTCGTCGAGCAGTTGAACAGCCGATCCAATTTAAATACCAAATTTATTCGCGATTCACAAATAGTCGACCCAAATGTCGTTCTAACAACAATAATTATAACAATTACAAAACAAACCTTCAATTTTGTAGGTTCCCGGAGCAAAAACTCCCAAATAACAAACCAAAGAAAAAAGAGAGCACCAAAATGTCCGAAGATAGTGATATAAACAAGCATGTTCAAGAGTTCAATAAAACAATTACATCCATAAACACAGCGAATTATTAATATTCAAAATAAAGGTTTTTATCAGCCCAATGTCTTCAGTTCTCCCGCAACACATCAATAATGTTACTATGTTTTGGGATGTATTTGTTATACTTAACCTATGAACTTGTTTGTTAATATCATTCTTTTCGGACATTTTGGTTTCTTTTTGTCATCGGTTTGGTATTTGGGAGTTTTTGCTCCGGGAACCTACAAAATTGAAGGTTTGTTTTGTAGTTGTTATAATTATTATTGTTAGAACGACATTTGGGTCGACTATTTGTGAATCGCGAATAAACTTTGGTATGTAATTGAAATTTGGTTCTATTGTTAATTTGGGTTCGTGAATTGCAAATAGATCGAAATATCGTACTTCAATAAAAGGAACGAGCGAAAACTTGGACGTAACACAGGGTCCTCGATTGCAACGGTGGTTCCCAAAAAATCTGTAGGTGATTGGACTCACGTTAACAGAGCTAGAAAGAACCAGGCGTCGTCATCCAAGCTGAACATCTCAAGTGTTGTGCGGAAATCAGCTGGTGATTTGGTTGCACAGTCTACCCCCAAGAATGTCAGTCCGGTCATCACAGTGCCTAGGATTCAGAAACGTGCTTCGACCTCTAAACAACAAGGCGCTGAACATGAACGCACCGGAAAACCTGAGAAAACAATAACGGTTCGTGATGACTCTCTCATAATCATGATCCTCAAAAACAACCCTAACCTTCCTCTCAGTTTGCAGTACAAAAATGACATGATGCTCTGGGGTGAATAGAACAAGAAACTTGAACTTCCTAGAATAGAGCCTTTGACGGTCACACGGCTCATCCGGGAAAAAGGAATCTAAGCATCAAGCTACTTCGTGTATCAATTAAGAATTCTACCAACGTAGAGGACGTTCAGCTAGCTAGTCATATACTGAAGTCCGATGGGAACGTAAGAATACTGCCCGACATACCGTATTCTGAGTGTAATCTCATCCAGGACGTCCCTAAAGAATCTCGCGAGTTTTACCGCGGAAGAAACATAATTATGCAAGGTGTATCGGAAATCACGGACCCTAGTCAAACGAACTCTGATATTAAGGAATGGAACTTCATGAAGCAAACCTTGAGGCTCAAAAACATACTGACTCAACATGTGACGAGATTAGCCAAGAAGGACGGTGATTCTAAACTTTGGCTAATGAGGATAACTGTCCCATCCCCCCACATGGCTGCTGCAACTCTGGAAGCATTTTGTGCCAATAGGCGCTGGTTGCCAACTGGAATCCATATGCACCCGGATAGGCCATATGACGCCAGGAACAAGCACAAAGGCAAGTTAGAGCTGATCATTCCGCTTGTGGAATGTCTTGATCATGAAAAAACGTGTAAAATACAAGGATTGTCAACTCGGAAAACCTTGTATGGGTAGGCTACCTGTTCATTCACATAAGGCTTATACGGAAAAACAGAAAGGAGAAGATCAAGCCTTTCAAATCGAAAGCACAAACTGCTTATACATGAAC